ACTATCCTGCTGCTGCTGCTGCTGCTGCTGCAGCTACTGCTGCTGCTGCTGCTGCTGCTGCAGCTACTGCTGCTGCTGCTGCTGCTGCTGCTGCTGCTTACCTGTTTATTATTATTAAGGGTTTGTGCAGGTAAACCCGCGAATAGACGCGAAGAATTTTCATTTGTTAAAAAACAAATACAATCACCAGGAAATAATATTGAAAAACTGTACATAAACCCTAAACCCTAAACCCTAAACCCTAAACCCTAAACCCTTAAACCTATAGATGGTATACCATGAAGAGGGATTAGGGGCTCACGTGCACCACAGTGGCCTTTTTGAGCTACTTTTGCTGCTGTTCCTTTTGCTGCTGCTGCTGCTGCTGCTGCAGTAGTGCTGCTTGAGTCTTAGTGTTATACAGGGTTTATTTAGGGTTTAGGGTTTAGGGTTTAGGGTTTAGTACCTGTGTGTATCCTTTAGGGCTGTCTGCAAGGATGCAACAAATGCATCAAGGAGATAATGCTGCAGCAGCAGCAGCCGCGATAAGCTCACATGCGCATACTCCTGCTGCTGCAGTTGCTGCTGCTGCTGCTGCTGCTGCTGCTGTTGCTGCTGTTCCTGCTGCACTTCGCTGCAAAACCGCTTGTTAGGAGATGTAGAAGTAGAGGGCCGAATGTACCACGGCTGTACACGCAGCAGCTTCTCCTGCTGCAGTTGCTGCTGCTGCTGCTGCTGCTGCTGCTGCCTCTGCTGCTGCTGCTGCTGCAGCAAAGAGCAGCAGATAGAGTCTAGACACTCAACACAAACCTCCGTTTGCTGACGAATCTTCTTCTTGCTCACTGCGCAGCACAAAACCCTCAATAGGAAAAAGTGCAGCAGCAGCAGCAGCAACAGCAACAGCAGCAACAGCAGCAGCAGCAGCAGCAGCAGCAGCAGACCTGGTATGTAGACGAAGGAGGCGAAGACACCCTCTGTGTGAGGTATGCGGCGCTTGCGGTTAAAGTGCGCAATACCTAAGAACAAAAACCCTAAACCCTAAACCCTAAACCCTAAACCCTCAAATACACTCATAAATCTGAGGAAGGGAAGTTCACAGCTCTGCACACCTCAGGTGTTTAGGGTTTAGGGTTTAGGGTTTAGGGTTTGAGGCTGGGACTTCACTCGCTTGAGTCAGAAGACGATGATGTAGGAGAATTCATCGGGGTTTAGGGTTTAGGGTTTAGGGTTTAGGGTTTAGCCTTAAACTTGGGAGAACGTCGGCAAGGAGAAGCGGCAGAAGAAAAACAAAAAGAAAAATTCAAACTTTTAATTCAAACCCTAAAGGCTAAACCTTCAAACCCTAAACCCTAAACCCTAATCTCTAAACCCTAAACCCTAAACCCTAAACCCTAAACCCTAGGCAGTAGTCAATAAACAGATCGACCTGCATGATTAATAAATGACAATGGAGGGATTTCTGCAAATAAATAAACTTTAAATAGAGGAAGTTGAGTCAAACCCTAAACCCTAAACCCTAAACCCTAAACCCTCATGGGGCCCCCAGCTTCCCCTGGGGCCCTCTGTGCAGTGCAGATTGTGCCTTTTAGGGTTTTGCTGCAGCGTTTATTGACTATTCTTTATTTTTTATTTTTTATTCTTTACTAAACCCTAAACCCTAAACCCTAAACCCTCTCTGGTCGTGTTACAGCTCCTTTGTACAAAATGTGTAAGCAGAACCTCAAAACCCTAAACTCTAAACCCTAAACCCTAAACCCTAGAGCGACCGCACCCTAAACCCTAAACCCTAAACTTTAAACCCTAAACCCTAAACCATACACACTTATTGAGAAGCTCGATACCTTCCTAACCTCTAAACCCTAATCACTAAACCCTAATCCTATAAACCCTAAACCCTCCGAAGGCTCAATGACCTAAACCCTAAACCCTAAACCCTAAACCCTAGGCAGCACATCGGAGGTTTGCTGTATTTGTCAGAAACTTTCCCGTGTGCTGTATGTGCATCTCTGCAGCTCCTCAGCAGCAGCTGCCGCAGCAGCAGCAGCAGCAACAGCAGCAGCAGCAGCAGCAGGGAGTTGCTGTTTATAAGGATCGTGTCCTTCGTCTTCATCCTTTTGTACAACACTATGATTGGGGTTGTGTTGCTGCTGCTTCTCTTGTTGCTGCAGTAGCAAACACTACTGCTGCATGCGTTAATTATAAACCCCAGCAGCAGCAGCAGCAGCAGCAACAGCAGCAGCAGCAGGAGCAGCGATTTGCAGAACTATGGATGGGTGCACATCCTAATGGCTGTTCTGCTGTTGTGCCAGTAGAGAGAGAAGCCCTCTGCCCCCTTCCTGCTGCTGCTGCTGCTGCTGCTCCTGCTGCTCCTTCTGCAGCAGCAGCAACAGGAACACCTGCAGCAGCAGCAACAGCAACAGCAGCAAACCCCACACCAATTCCTCTTTCCCAACATCTACTAAGCCTTTACCACCAACAACACCCTAACCAGCAGCAGCAGCAGCAGCAGCAGCAGCAGCAG